TTATCATCGTCGCAATGGTGGCGCTGCTTGCGAGTTAAATCTACAAATCTGCAAATAACTCTAAGGATATTCTAGATATTCAAGAAATTATTTTTCAAAAACCTTCCCGGGTTCAAATCAAATCACATTAATAGGTACCGCTCAGCAAGAGCAACCTAGTTCATGATAATTGAACAATGAATAATATGTGAAGGTTATTCACATATTAAACAAAATTTAAACGCGGGATTCAATCCCGGTTCATGACTGTCGGGAATCGAGCGTGTTACCCTTTCATCCACCGACTTGTTATGCCTTCCCGGGGATATACCTAATAATATCCCAAATTTTCACGGCGATTGGATGTATGGTTTTTGAATCTATAGAGTACACACAGACAGACATTCAATTATATATATATACTAGCCAAATGACCCGGGCAACGCCCGTGTTTTACCCGATTTAATGTTTTTATTCAAATACTATTTGTTACAATTATAAATTGGAGCCGTGGATGTCACTCTTGTGAAACGTCCCGCTCCAAACTTTACATGTACATTAGGTCAGCTGGTATTACCCCTCATTTTCACCGCTAGAGGCGCGAGCGAATTGACTTTTTGTAAATTACATAATTATAAAGATAGAAGCTTCTATAGAAGATAATGATCATAATGATGATGCGCGCGCACCCGTGACATGAGGAATTGAGGAAAGACGGTCGTGACTATAAATATTAATAATAAAATAATCAAATAATAATAATAATATAATAATAATAATTATTATTATTATCATTAGATAATGATAATGATCATAATGATGATGCGCGCGCATCCGTGACATGAGGAATTGATTGAGGAGAAAGACGGTCGTGACTATATTTGTTGATAATAATAATAATAATAATATAATAATAATTATTATTATTGTTATCATTAGATAATGATAATAATGATGATGCGCGCGCATCCGTGACATGAGGAATTGAGGAATTGATTGAAGAGGAAAGACGGTCGTGACTATATATGTTGACGAATGGCCCGGGCAACGCCCGGGTTTTACCCGAATGCGTATATATTTTAAAAATGTTTTAATTAAAATACTATTCGTTACAATTATAAATTGGCGCCGTGGATGTCTCTTTTATGAAACGTCCCGCCCCAAACTGTGTGTGTCTTGAAAATATAAAAATAAAAAATGTGAACGGAAAAATATGTCCAGGGTAGCCTAGTGGTCATGGCATCTGCCCGGTAAGCGGAAGGTCGTGGGTTCGATACCCATCCCTTGACACTTTTTTTTATTTTATCCATTCTGACCAAAATCTATCCGTGAACTTCACACAGTGAACTTCACACAGACAGAAGCATTAGATAATGATAATGATCATAATGATGATGCGCGCGCATCCGTGACATGAGGAATTGATTGATTGAGGAAAGATGGTCGTGACTATATATGTTGATGTTGATAATAATAATAAAATAATAATAATAATATAATAATAATTATTATTATCATTAAATAATGATAATGATCATAATGATGATGCGCGCGCATCGTGACATGAGGAATTGAGGAATTGATTGATTGAGGAAAGATGGTCGTGACTATATATGTTGATAATAATAAAATAATAATTAAAAAAAATAATAATTATTATTATTATTATCATTAGATAATGATAATGATCATAATGATATTGCGCGCGCATCCGTGACATGAGGAATTGAGGACAGCGATGAGGAAAGACGGTCGTGACTATATATATTAATAATAATAATAATAATATAATAATAATTATTATTATTATTATCATTAGATAATGATCATAATGATGATGCGCGCGCATCCGTGACATGAGGAATTGAGGACAGCGATGAGGAAAGATGGTCGTGACTATATATATTAATAATATTATTATTAATATATAATATAATAATAATAATTATTATTATTATCATTAGATAATGATCATAATGATGATGCGCGCGCATCCGTGACATGAAGAATTGAGGACAGCGATGAGGAAAGACGGTCGTGACTATATATATTAACTAGACGAATGACCCGGGCAACGCCCGTGTTTTACCCGATTGAATGTTTTTATTCCAATACTATTTGTTACAATTATAAATTGGAGCCGTGGATGTCACTCTTGTGAAACGTCCCGCTCCAAACTTTACATGTACATTAGGTCAGCTGGTATTACCCCTCATTTTCACCGCTAGAGGCGCGAGCGAATTGACTTTTTGTAAATATACATAATTATAGAGATAGAAGCTTCTATAGAAGATAATGATTATAATGATGATGCACGCGCATCCGTGACATTAGGAATTGAGGACAGCGATGAGGAAAGACGGTCGTGACTATATATGTTGATGATAATAAAATAATAAAATGATAATAATAATATAATAATAATAATTATTAATATTATCATTAGATAATGATAATGATCATAATGATGATGCGCGCGCATCCGTGACATGAGGAATTGAGGACAGCGATGAGGAAAGACGGTCGTGACTATATATGTTGATGATAATAAAATAATAAAATGATAATAATAATATAATAATAATAATTATTAATATTATCATTAGATAATGATAATGATCATAATGATGATGCGCGCGCATCCGTGACATGAGGAATTGAGGACAGCGATGAGGAAAGACGGTCGTGACTATATAGTCGATGATAATAAAATAATAAAATAATAATAATAATATAATAATAATTATTTTATTATTATCATTTGATAACGATAATGATCATAATGATGATGCGCGCGCATCCGTGGCATGAGGAATTGAGGACAGTGATGAGGAAAGACGGTCGTGACTATATATAGGGACTAGACGAATGACCCGGGCAACGCCCGTGTTTTACCCGATTGAATGTTTTTATTCAAATACTATTTGTTACAATTATAAATTGGAGCCGTGGATGTCACTCTTGTGAAACGTCCCGCTCCAAACTTTACATGTACATTAGGTCAGCTGGTATTACCCCTCATTTTCACCTCTAGAGGCGCGAGCGAATTGACTTTTTGTAAATATACATAATTATAAAGATAGAAGCTTTTCTATCGAAGATAATGATCATAATGATGATGCGCGCGCATCCGTGACAGCGATGAGGAAATGAGGAAAGACGGTCGTGACTATATATTAATAACGAATGACCCGGGCAACGCCCGGGTTTTACCCAATTAAATGTTTTTATTCAAATACTATTTGTTACAATTATAAATTGGCGCCGTGGATGTCACACTTGTGAAACGTCCCGCTGCAAACTTTGTGTCTGAGAAGCGATATTTTTATAGAAAGATGATCTGGCTTTTGTTTTCTGCTCGAATGAATGTTTTTCTGTTAGAATTTTGTTCCTGCGTACAAAATAATGAACTGGTTTCACCCGTGGTCTTTGCTTTTTGGAATTTTTCCCGATATAATTTTGTATCTGATAATCAAACATGATACAGCAATATCGTCATCATCATTTTATGACTAAAAATATATAGTTTTAATAATTGATTTATATATATTTTTAAATAGCCTATCGTCTTCCCCGTATTTTTTACCTATGTATGGAAATTTTGGTTTGAATTAGTGAACTACTGCGAATTTGTATACCGGACATACAAACAAACATACAAACAGACAAACATTCATTTTTATATATATAGAATTTACTCTTCATTGTGGCTTTTTATATTATATTTACTCTTCATTGTTGGCTTTTTATCCTACATTCACTCTGTTGGCTTTTTAAATTACATTTACTCTTCATTGTTGGCTTTTTATCTTACATTCACTCTTCATTGTTGGCTTTTTATATTATATTTACTCTTCATTGTTTGCCTTTTATCTTACATTATTCTTCAAGGTTGGCTTTTTATATTACATTCACTCTTCATTGTTGGCTTTTTATCTTACATTCATTCTTCATTGTTGGCTTTTCATATTACATTTACTATTCATTGTTGGCTTTTTATCTTACATTCACTCTTCATTGTCGGCTTTATATCTTACATTCATTCTTCATTGTTGGCTTTTTATATTGCATTCACTCTTCATTGTTGGCTTTTAATCTTACATTCATTCTTCATTGTTGGCTTTTTATATTACATTTACTCTTCATTGTTGGCTTTTTATCTTACATTCACTCTTCATTGTTGGCTTTTTATATTATATTTACTCTTCATTGTTGGCTTTTTATCTTACATTTATTCTTCATTGTTGGCTTTTTATATTACATTTACTCTTCATTGTTGGCTTTTTATCTTACATTCATTCTTCATTGTTGGCTTTTTATATCATATTTACTCTTCATTGTTGGCTTTTTATCTTACATTCATTCTTCATTGTTGGCTTTTTATCTTACATTTATTCTTCATTGTTGGCTTTTTATATTATATTTACTCTTCATTGTTGGCTTTTTATCTTACATTTTATCTTCATTGTTGGCTTTTTATATTACATTTACTCTTTATTGTTGGCTTTTTATCTTACATTCATTCTTCATTGTTGGCTTTTTATATCATATTTACTCTTCATTCTTGGCTTTTTATCTTACATTCATTCTTCATTGTTGGCTTTTTATATTATACTAATGATGATGCGCGCGCATCCGTGACATGAGGAATTGAGGAATTGACGGTGGAAAGACGGTCGTTACTATATATGTTGATAATAATAATAATAATATAATAATAATTATTATTATCATTATCATTAGATAATGATCATAATGATGATGCGCGCGCATCCGTGACATGAGGAATTGAGGACAGCGATGAGGAAAGACGGTCGTGACTATATATATTAACTAGACGAATGGCCCGGGCAAAGCCCAGGTTTTACCCGAGTGCGTATATATTTTTAAAATGTTTTTAAATAAAATACTATTCGTTACAATTATAAATTGGCGCCGTGGATGTCTCTCTTGTGAAACGTCCCGCCCCAAAATGTGTGTGTCTTGAAAATATAAAAATAAAAATGTGAACGGAAAAATATGTCCAGGTTAGCCTAGTGGTCTTGGCATCTGCCCGGTAAGCGGAAGGTCGTGGGTTCGATTCCCATCCCATTGCACTTTTTTTATTTTATCCATTCTGACCAAAATCTATCCGTGAACTCACACAGTGAACTTCACACAGACAGAATAAGGCAATTATATAAGTAGATAATCCAAATTGTGCCTTATCACACACTATTTTTTTATTTGGCCTTATTACCTTGTGTTTATAATTTATGACGTAATGCCGGCGGCGCGCGCCCTTTGGCTGCCGGCGAGCACGTGACCTCCCTGTAGGCGCGCATCCGTGACAGCGATGAGGAATTGAGGAAAGACGGTCGTGACTATATATATTAATAATAATAATATAATAATAATAATTATTATTATTATTAGATAATGATAAT